GACCGTCCACCACCACTGCCGCCCCCCACCGACTGCCTTCTATCCATCCAGCAACAGCTATCGTGGCTTCAAACCCCTAAAATTCCTAAACTCAAACCCTAAGTCCCAAAATTCCAACACCCATCCATCACAACCGGTGAATGGATGGTCAGTGGGCTAATGGCCGAGAGGTGAGTCAATGATTGTTGACGGTGGTGGTGGTCCGCACCCAAATTGAAAATCTTGAGATATTTTATGAAAAATAGAAAAAAATCTATTTTTTTAAATATGAATTTTATTTTTTAAAAAATTAAATAAAAAAATAAACCATGTGTCAAATACTAATTGGTTAACTTATTTTTGACGAAATTTTTTAACGGTTGTTACGACGTAGGCTGATAATATTAGAAACATTAGACACTTAAATTAACTAAAAAAAAAGTTTAGATACTTACCTGAAAAGTGGTCTAATTTGGGCAATTCATTTTATATTAAGCCATAATTTTAATAAAAAAATGTTAGTTATTTAAAAAAAAAATATGAAAAGGAATAAGAAAATATCAATGGTCAGAAAGTCAATGTAGAAAAACAAGACGTAGAAGTCAAAATGTTCCCACGTGCATGAATATATTATAATATATTCTCATCTTTCATGTGATCCAGAGAAAAATGACAGTTATATTTTCCAATTATTTTTACCATTTTATTGAATCAAAAATGGATTTGATATATTTTGTAAAGAAATCATAAAAATGAATAATAATTGAGATTTTTAAAAAAGTTTTAAAATATGTAATTTAATAAATTTAAATTCTCTAATTTAGGTAATAAGATAAACATTAAGAAAATTGAAAATTAATAATACCACAAATTCAACGGCACACCAAAATTCACAATGTTTTATGAATGTTTCTAAAACTACACTTCAATTTTTAACGTTTGAAAATTTAAAATCCGTTAGAATTTTTAAATATCAATAATACTATAATTTTCTATAAGAGGGATTAATCCAAAAGCGAGACACAAGACCTGAACTCGATAATTTATGATCTGACCCGACATAATATAGTCGGAGTTCTTTTTAAAGTAATTCGAGTTCGGATTCTGTAGAATTTTTTAGATTATAAGTTCGAGTTGGATCGGGTTCTTGTTTAAGGTAAAAAATATCCGATCCAAAAAATAATGTAACTATATAATATATTTAGAAATAATTATAATAATTCTACTCTATATACTATTTCTTTTCAATTAAATACTTATTTTATTAAATAAAATTAAGAATTATATATATATATAGTTGTATCAAATCGGATCTAATTTGAGTTTTATCTCAAATGACGGATCGAGTTTTGAGTCGAATGAAGTTATCATAAACCTAGGTCATGTTGAGTTTTAAATGAAATGTGTATTTTTATCAAGTCGAATCGAGTTATCAAAAAATTCAATCCAACCCATTTCTATTTCTAACCATCACATCAAAATTTATAAGGTATGTGTACAAACCCATAAAAACTTTTGTAGGGTTTACATATGTATATCTATCCTAAAAATATTTATAGATCTATCATTATTCACAATTGTTTGATTCTTTACAATTTGTTTTCTTCCTGACAACTTCTTTTCCTTTATGCTAGTTCTCATACAGGACGATAAGTTTAGATAATTTCCAAATTCCTTATATTTTCCTGTAAAATTCGTCACCTTGAACCATCATCAGGTTTCCGAACCATCACCGACTAAACCCCACCATCATGTTCTTCGGATGCTTTATTGTAATGGCACAAACCATGTTCAGTAAATTACAAAATATTCGATTCGTTTGGCGTCACCGGAGCATCACTTCTGCTGACATCAAAGTCGGAGATCCACAGTCGATAGCTTTAATAACTTGACGGCAGCGTAATCTACATTGAATTATCATCTAAAAGTTGAACCTATAATCAACAATGGGCATCATCAGAAATAATAAATGCTTAAAAGGTTTCAAAACAGAAGATTGCAACAAAGTATATAACATATTAAACATAATTTTTTCAGTCTTAGTGACTTAATTGTTACAATCAATAAATTGATCAACCTAATTATAGCTAAATATAAGAATATATGTTTCATTTTTAGCGGTGACCTAAATGTGGCTTGGGAGTAAAAAGGGGATCGGGGGTCGCCGGAGGAGACCGGAAAAGGGAAGTGCAAGCGAGGGGAAAAATTAGATTCATCGTTATTTTTTTTTCTTTCATTGATTTTGGAATGGACGCATGTAGTTGTTTTATAGTATTTTGGTGCCCATTAGCCGGCAACAATTCTGTTACATGCTATAACTAATCTCTATTAAAGCCATGATATTAAACCAATTTTTTTGGTGCCTTGAGTTAGTTTTCGTTATATCTCCCTACCTTTTTATTGGACACAATCCTTAAAAGGTCAATTTAAGTTCGAATCGGATCAAATTCGTATTTAGAATGAAAAAAATATCAATCCGACTCGAGATGATGATATATATATTTTTTATAGTATATATTACCCCCCAAAATTCAAGTCAAGCTTCGAGTTAAGTGAAAATCCCTTTGACCTTTGGAGAGGAGAGGACAGAGAAGAGAGAAGAGGTATTATGCTCGTCAAAATCCCCTATTTATAAATTTTAGTGGTCATTAGATTGTTGACACATGCTAACATCTTAGCCATTTAACATTACAAATATCTAGTTTCTTCTAATAGATAATTTTAGACATAATATTAAATAATATAAATATCTAGATTATTTTATGGATATATCTACACATATACTCTTTCTATATTAATCTAAAATATTCCCAAGATCTATATCCTAAATGATAATTATATATTTACCTATAAGTTGTATTGGATTTCAACAACAATGTTCAATCAACCTTATCTTCAACTATTTAATCTTTTAGTCCCTAAATTTAATATGATCATGCTAAAATGCATTAAATACCTAATAAACTATCATATAACATGCTTAAAACAAAGTATAACATGTATCTAATCTATGTATATAACACATGTATCCATCATGTCTCATAATATACCATCATTAAAATGTATTTATCCATTTATTTTGAAATTCCATTCTCATTCCTATTTCATTTATGTCAATAATTTTGGGCATGCAATATTACTTATAGCTCTAGAAATTTGGGTGATAAATTTTATAATTGCGTCTATAGCAAAGTTAGATGATAGTACACTTGCTTTCGACTTTTTTCCGGTGGTACTCCTCATGCTTCTTCAGTGTTTTTTCTAGATCCTCCCTAAGCTTGTGAATTTCCTCATTTGATGCCTTTTGGGAAAACTTAACATGTATTTTAGCCTTTTTACATGCCACTTGCTCCTCTTTCAACTGCCGTCTAAACCTCGTAGTTGATTTCTTTATCTTTAACTCAACTATGAAAATACTATTATTCATTCATTTATGCTTACAATTTCATGAATAAATTATACACGTTAACAACAATTTATAAAAATGAGATGTAAAAATAGGTTAAATAAGCATCATCAAAATAAGATTTTTTTTTAAATTTTTCTTAATTTTGAATTTGAGTAAATTAATATTCCTTAATTTTTTTAAATTTTATATATAATTTATAAGGGTAAATTACAACTCTAGTATCTCAACTATCATTTTTGTTTTGTTTTAGTGACCCAACTATTATTTTTTTTCAAAATTATACATAATATTGCATTTTTATTTCATTTAAGTTATATGACGTTAAAAAATTAACAAAACTGTTGACGTTTTATTTCTTTTAAAAACTTTCAATGATGTCATAACATTACTTTTGAGTGGTATGTCAGCATCACCGTTAATTTTTTAAAAAATTATATATAATCAACATTGTAATCAACTGTCTATAACTATTTAATTTTGAAAATAATGGGAACTAAATTAATTCTCTCATTCTTTTTAAGGGAACCATTTAACAATTTAAAAGGGGCCTTAAGAAATTTGAAAAATAATGGCACACCAAAATTCACAACGTTTTATGAATGTTTCTAAAACTACACTTAAATTTTTAACGTTTGAAAATTTAATATCTGTTAGAATTTTTAAATAACAATAATACTATAATTTTCTATAACAGTGATTAATCCAGAAACGAGACACGAGATCCAAACTCAATAAGTTATGATCTGACCCGACATAATATAGTCAGAGTTCTTTATAAAGAAATTCGAGTTCGGATTCAGATCGGTTTTTAGAATATAAATTCGAGTTGGATCGGGTTCATGTTTAACGTAAAAAATATCTGATCCGAAAAATAATGTAATTATACAATATATTTAGGAATAATTACAATAATACCTCTCTTTGTATTATTTATTTTTGATTAAATCCTTATTTTATTAAATAAAATTAAGAATTATATATACATATATGTAGTTGTATCAAATCAAAATGAATATGAGTTTTATCTCAAATAACATATCAAGTTTTGAGTCGAATGAAGTAATCTTAAACCTAGGTCAAGTTGAGTTTTGAACGAAAGATGCACTTTTATCAAGTTGGGTCAAGTTAACCAATAATTCAATCCAACCCATATCCATCTCTAACCATCACCCCTACTCACATTCATCACATCAAATTTTATAAGGTATGTGTACACACCTATACGATACTTTTGTGTTGTAAACACATGTGTATATTCACCCTAAAAAATATTTATGACTTCATCATTATTCACAACTGTTTAATTCTTTACAAATTTTTTCTTTATGTTAACTTCTTTTCCTTTATGCTAATTCTCATATATGGCGTGAAGTTTAGATAATTTTCAACTTCCTTATTTTTTGCGTAAAATCCGTCACCTCAGGCCATCATCGGGTTTTCGGACTATCACCGACTAAAACCCACCATCATGTTCTTCGGATGCTTCATTGTAATGGCACAAACCATGTTCAGTAAATTACAAAATATTCGATTCGTTTGGCGTCACCGGAGCATCACTTCTGCTGACATCAAAGTCGGAGATCCGTGTCTTATGGCTCTAATATCTTGATGGCGGCGTAATCTACATTGAATTATCATCTAAAAGTTGAACCTATAATCAACAATGGGCATCATCAGAAATAATAAACGCTTAACTGGTTTCAAAATAGAAGATTGCAACAAAGTATATAACATATTAAATATAGAAAATATTAAAAATCACTAAATTATTAGTAAAATTATAAATGAATCATTTTAAATTAAGAAAGATTACAATCATACTTACAGGTTTTTCTGTCTTAGTGACGATTGTCACAATCAATAAATTGAACAACCTAATTATGACTAAAAAGTTAATATATGTTTCAATTTTAACGGCATAGTAACTTATTTGTAATTTTTTAAAATCTAATAACTCATTTGTAATCTTACAAAAAATGAGGGACTTACAGTGTATTCCACCCTTAATACAATCGAATAACCCAGCTATAGCCTATAGTGATACTCCTCTTCCTTGTTATTTTTTCTCGTTATAATCATATTATATATATATTTTAACAAGTTAATAATTTATTTTCTCAATTTCTCAAATTTAAGGAAAATATTAATTATAAAATTGTATCAATCCTGATATGTTAATAATTTGATTTATGCAAATTTTACATGTATTTGTATCATATTATATAATTATATTTTAAAATAGCCATTCAAAATAATTACAAGTGAACCGTTAATAAAAATTATTGGTATCTTTATATTTATCTTGTGGAAGTGCTAAAAAAATATGCTCATTTTTATCTTAATTTATATATATAATACGCAAGTAGTGACTTAGATTAGTTATTAAGATTATATTTATATTATTTTATCGACATTTTACTCTAAAGATTATCTTGAGATATTTTACATAATAATAATAATAATAATAATAATAATAATAATTTCTTTGTAATTTAGATTAAAAAATAAAAAAATGTTTTCATTAACATATTCCATGCATTCATACTACGAATAGTACTTTACCCGAAGTTTTAACTGGACACAATTATCATAAGGTTAAGTTCGAACCGGATAAGTATGAAATTCTCAATCCGACTCGAGACAATGATATACTTTTTTTTTTATATATTTAGTGATAACTACTATAATATCCATCTATATATTTTTTTAATTAAAATCTTATTTTATTAAATAAAAAAATCATTTATGTTTTTTAATTAAAATCTTATTTTATTAAATAAAAATAAAAATCATTTATATATGTCGAATATATGTTTTTACCAAAAATTCAAGTCGAACTTCGAGTTAAATGAAATCTCCTAAACTAATATTGGATTTCAATTGAAAGAAGGTTTGCTTCTCAAGTCAAACCTAGTTCAGATTATTGTCTAAATTAAGATTGCGTTTTACAAATCAATTATCACTTAAATTAACTTTGGGGGTTGTTATTATAGCTAATTGGTGTTGCGGAAGACGGCTATCGGATAGAGCAAAATCGCAACTGATAATTTGAGAAAATAAAAATGATGATAAAAAGAGACACAAAATTTACGTGGAAAACCCCTAAATAAAATAGGGTAAAAACCACGGGCAACGGTAGAAGAATTTCACTATGAGAAAATAGGAATTACAACTTCTCTCGATCTACCAAGGAGAAAACAATGATAATTCTCTCTTGATAAAAAAAAGGAGAAAACAACTCTCAAGAAACTCTTAAATTCTCTCTAGTATTGGAAGAAAGCTAGAATGCTTTGGGATGGTTTTGAAGCTAAATGAGCTAGGGTATTTATAGTTGAAACTTGAGGACTAATCTTGTAAATACCCTAAAGTTTAGGGACTCAATTTGGTAGTTATGCCTTTATTATTTCAACAATTTGCAGTTACTTTATTGACTCCACAATTCCACTTGCACACTTGCACATTCGGTGCATTAATGCACCGAATAATTGGTTAAATTTCAACAATCTCCCACTTGAAGATTTGATTGGAGCAATCATATCTTCACACCATTTTTTTACCTTGTACCATCATGTTGCTTACGTCTCTGACAGGCCACAAGAGGATCGACACCAGGTAAATTTATCAGCGTTGATCGCCTTCGTCATGAAATCTGCTATGTTGTCTTTGGTATGGATCTTCTGCATATCTACCGTCCCTTCTTCCACCTTTTCACGAATGAAATGGTACTGAACTCGTATGTGCTTTGTCCTTGAATGAAATGCTGGATTTCTTGCTAGATGCAAGGCACTTTGACTGTCACAAAACAGAGAGACATACTATTGATTGTGCCCAAGCTCCTCCAATAGCATCTTCAACCAAATTGTTTCTTTACTGGCTTGTGTAGCTGCTACATATTCTGCTTCTGTTGTGGATGTAGCCACAACTGACTGCAATTTTGAAACCCAGCTTACAGCTCCACCAGCAACTTTGAACACATATCCTGTAGTAGATTTGCTTTTATCCAAATCCCCTACATAGTCAGAATCGACATACCCATTTATAAGTAAGTTTGATCCTTCGTAACATAATGCAACATTTGAGGTCCCTTTGATGTATCTTAGGATCCTCTTTACAATATTCCAATGCTCTTTGCCTGGATTCTCCATGTACCGACTAATCACTCCCACTGCTTGTGCAATGTCTGGTCTTGTGCATATCATAGCAAACATTAAACTTCCCACTGCTGATGCATACGGCACTCGAGACATCTCCATCCTCTCTTCTTCACTGCTAGGACTCATACTGGAGGATAATTTGAAGTTAATAGGAAGAGGGGTAGAAATTGGCTTACAATCTTGTATGTTGAATCGTTACAAGATCTTCTTCAAATAATTCTTTTATGAAAGCCAAATCTTCCTATTACTTATGTCTCGGTGAATTTACATCCCTAGAATCTTGTTTGTCGATCCCAAGTCCTTCATTTAAAATTCCCTAGCCAATTGTGCCTTCAATTCTTCAATATGATCTTTGTTGGGTCCTGCAACCAACATGTCATCCACATACAACAACAATATAACAAAATCGTTATCACCAGACCTCTTGAAATAAGCACAAGGGTCAACATTAAGTCTGTTGTATCCAAGGCACATAATGAAGGAATCAAATCTCTTATACCAACACCTCGGCGCCTTCTTTAGACCGTACAGAGATTTGTTCAACCTGCAAACCAAGTTCTTCTTTTCTTTTTCTTCAAAACCTTCAGGCTGGAGCATATAAATTTCTTCTTCAACATTTCCATGAAGAAAAGCTGTTTTAACATCTAGCTGCTCTAGATGTAAGTCCAATGTAGCACACATTGCCAAAATTACTCGAACTGTTGTTAGTCGAACCACAGGAGAAAATATTTCATTGAAATCAATACCTTCTTTTTGAGCATATCCTTTGACCACCAGTCTTGTACGATACCTCTCAACTTGATCGTCACCATTTCGCTTGATTTTGAAGACCCATTTGTTACCAATTGGCTTCCTTCCTTATGGTAGTGGCACAAGGTCCCATGTATTATTTTTATGAAGGGCTTCGATTTCTTCTTGCATCGCCATCATCTACAGTGAAGCATCTGAGCTGTTTATTGCCTCCTGGTATGTTGATGGCTCACCGTCCTCTGTTAAAAGACAGTATGCAATATTACCTTCTATAACATAATCTGAGTGCCAATTGGGACGTCTTCTCACACGATCTGATTGACGAGTTGTTGGAGCTTCAGAATTCTCTGGTTCTTGTTCATCTTGTGTTAGTTCTGCTTCAGAATAATCTGTGTAGTCTCTGACTTTTCAGTGCTATCATCGTCTTATTTTCTTTGTAGCTTATCTTCTACAAAGATGACATCCCTACTGATGATCACTTTACGGGCAGTGGGATCCCATAAGCGATACCTCTTTACTCCATCAGCATACCCCAAGAATTTGCATTTCCTGGATTTTGGATCCAACTTTGAGATTTCTTGGGAGTTGTACATCACGTACACAATACTTCCAAATATATGGAGGTTTGAATAATCAGCTGGTTTACCAGTCCACATCTCTATTGGTGTCTTCAGCTCTATTGCAGTTGATGGAGCTCGATTCACCAAATAACAGGCGGTATTGACTGCTTCTGCCCAGAATGATTTTTCTAGGCCTGCATCCCTCAACATTGCTCTTGTTCTTTCTAACAAGGTTCCATTCATCCGCTCTGCCACTCCATTTTGTTGAGGAGTGTTCGCCACTGTGACCTGTCTTTTGATGTCTTCTTTCCTACAAAAGTCATCAAATTCTTCGCTTGTGTATTATCCTCCATTATCTGTTCTGAAACACTTGATCTTATTTCCAGAATCAAGTTCCACCCGCGCTTTGAAGATTTTGAAAGTGGAAAACACATCTGACTTCTTCTTAATAGGGTACACCCAACATCTTCTGGAGTAGTCATCAATAAATGAGACAAAGTATTTTGCTCCACCTAGGGATGTAACTGGTGCTTGCCATACGTCAGAGTGAACCAATTCTAGAACACTTTTGCCTCTAGAATTTGATGTGTTGAATTTCAACCGGTGCTGCTTACTTGTTATGCAATGCTCACACAAAGGAAGTGATACCTTTGTTAAGCCTGTAAGTAGATTTTGCTCCACAAGGACTTTCATTCCTTGTTCTGACATGTGTCCAAGTTTCTGATGCCATAGCATTGCCGAATCTGAACTACATGAGGCAACAGAGGCTTCTACTTCTACCAAAGTCTCTCCCTTCAGCATGTACAAGTTTGCAGCTATCTTTTCACCTTTCAGCACCACAAGCGCTCCACGGAACATCTTCATGATTCCTTTCCGTGTTTCAATCTTGCTTGCATTATTATCCAACAATCCGTAGAATAATAAATTTTTCTTCAGGCCTTTCACGTGCCGCACATCTCGAACAACTTTAATTGTTCCATCATACATCTTCAATTTGATGGTTCCCACGCCAATGATCTCTAAGGCATGATCATTGTAACTATACACAGATCCTCCTGAGACAGGTTCATAATGATGGAACCATTCTCTTCTTGAGGTTATGTGATATGTTGCTCCCGAATCAATGAGCCATATGTCTGCATATCTCTTTCTACCTTCCACGGTTGTTGACGCTTCACAAAATAGAGCATCTCCATCATCTGAAGTGTTTGCGGTATTGCCTTGTGGATTGGAGTTTTTATTTAGACTCCAACAATCCTTCTTCAAATGACCATTCTTTCCACAATTGTAACACTTTAAATTCTTCTTGCTCCTCGACTTCGATCTACCATATTTTTGACTGCTGCTTTGGCCACGTTCTGTTGATCTCCCTCTCATCGTTGTCATCGTTGTCAATGCTTCTGCTTGTTGCAGATTTACTTGCCTGTCTTCCTTGTTCTTGCGCCGATTTTCTTCTTGTAGAACAACAGCTGTAACGTCATCGAAGACTAGACTGGTGACATTACTATTTGTCAAGTTGATGATGAGTTGATCATACAAATCCGGTAGACTTTGAAGTAGAAGTTCAGCACGTTCTTGTTCTCCTATTTTACAGCTTAAGGATGTAAGTTGAGAAAATAAAGTGTTCAGCGTGTTTAAGTGCTCCGTCACTGAAGTAGATTCTGGCATCTGGAGAGTGTACAATTTCCTCTTAAGGAAAATTTTATTGTGCAATGATGTGGCCTCATACAATTTGGTGAGATGATCACATATCTCCTTAGATGTCTTCTTCTCCTCGATGCTTGACAATACTTCATCTGCTAATGCTAGATGAAAGTTTGCCATAGCATTCCCGTCCATTTCGATCCATTTGTTGTCATCTGTGAAATCCACCGGCCTTTCACTAATAGCTGCTAGACAACCGTCTTTCCTCAGGATGGCATTCATCTTCAATTTCCACAATGAGAAATTTCTCCTATTGAATTTTTCAATATCAAATTTCTTTGCCATAGCTTCTTTTACGGATAGCTCCCACTATTTCACTATCGTGAATAGTTCTCTAGAACCTTCAAAAAATGGGTAATAACTTCTTATTTTCTTATGTTGGATGATCCACCTTTTGGTGGCAACCACAAAGACAATAAGCAGATATTACACACTCAAATCTGGCTCGGATACCAATTGTTGCAGAAGAAGGCTATCGGATAGAGCAAAATCGCAACTGATAATTTGAGAAAATAGAAATGATGATAAAAAGAGACACAAAATTTACGTGGAAAACCCCTAAATAAAATAGGGTAAAAACCACGGGCAACGGTAGAAGAATTTCACTATGAGAAAATAGGAATTACAACTTCTCTCGATCTACCAAGGAGAAAACAATGATAATTCTCTCTTGATAAAAAAAGGGGAAAATAACTCTCAAGAAACTCTCTAAATTCTCTCTAGTATTTGAAGAAAGCTAGAATGCTTTGGGATGGTTTTGAAGCTAAATGAGCTAGGGTATTTATAGTTGAAACTTGAGGACTAATCTTATAAATATCCTAAAGTTTAGGGACTCAATTTGGTAGTTGTGCCTTTATTATTTCAACAATTTGAAGCTACTTTATTGACTCCACAATTCCACTTGCACATTCGGTGCATTAATGCACCGAATATTTGGTTAAATTTCAACAATTGGTATATCCATTCATTATTTAATTGCACTAATATCAATGGATAATATTCTAAATGATAAAATCCATTACCAGATTCTTTTTAAAAAATTAATACTCGAATCTTAATTTTTAAAATTAGATTTTCACCCTATAATAAATATGCAAAAAACGATAAATTATATTTGACCCTAGAAAATTAAATATTATTAAGACTTTTTCTCAAGTGAGAAAAACATAACATACTTCAACTTTGATATGTCATGTGAAAAGGCTAAACCTAAATTACTTAATTCTAAAATATCAATATTTAACAATAAATATTATCTTTGGCATCATTATTATATAAAAATAATAATTAACTAATTAATCTAAAATGTGCTCAAATTATGACACGGGATAAGATTCACTAACTCGTCAATTTTACATGAAAATGTACTAATTAGATAAATCTAAATAAATGGTTGAGATTAAAATTTTATTATTTCATTATTTTCATTGGATAATACTAATGCACACGGTTTTAATCTCAATCATTCATTTAGATTCATCTGATAGCTATATTTCGTGTAAAACTAATAAATTTTACAGTGTAAGTGAATTTCACCCCAAATGACATTATTATTATTATTTTACTTTTATCGGATAATTCAAGTAGAACTAGCAAAAAAGTTCAAGTTTTAAGTTTTGTCAAAGTTGGATATAAAAACATTACATCTAATAATATCCTACTACATCAAATGTTATGAAGAAAGCATTCATGTGAACTAATAATTTTACATATATGTTATATATAAGTTTTTTGAAACTTAACCTGAGTATGCACTCCTCACCCACTCCCCCCCGTTGTAAATCCCAAACAGAATAACACCCAGACAAATTCATTCCAACAAAAGAGCCTGAAAAGTCTAATAAGGTAAACGATAAGTCTCTTAAAGCCTAAAAGTAGAGTAAACACTTACACTAGAAGATCCTCCGTATCCGCCATAGGGTTGGGACGAAAGTGAAGATGTGCTGTTGCCCAACTGCGAAAACGGGGACCTATAACTCGAGTCTGTGTAGTTGCTCCTTGTAATTGGATACTGGTGAATGTTCATGAATTCCTGCATTAACCAAAAAATCATGAATCTTAATATCTAAATAAATCCATCTTCGTAAGTCGAACTTGTGTGAATGTTATAAACAATTATGTTTAATTTTTCTCAGGATTTCCTGTATCCAGAAAGTTCTAAGATCATATATCAAGAACACATGTCCAGGTGTGCATCAGACAGAGATGGCAAACACAAGTCCTTTAGTTTAAAAAAATGAAGCCTTTGAGTCATAGAAATCCATAGAGATCAAAAACCCATTGAAGAGAATATAAAGCAGACAACTTACAATTAAATTAAACAAATAGGTTATTTCTTACTTGAATCAGTTGTTGAGCCAACTGAACCAGCATCGAGGTGCCTTAAATTTCGACGGTTATTTCGTCAGATAACCCCCCACTTTCTAAATATATATAAAATTGAAAAAATAAAAATATATATATATATATATATATATATATATATATAAATCAGATGAAATGATGATTATTCTAAACCTAATCATTTAATATAAAGTGTAACACCCCACCTGTATCCAACTCGGATACGAGTCCGATGTGTCTCAATGACTTTTCAAATCATATACTTGTACAAGATAATGAAAATTCCAACTTTTATCAAATAAAACTGCGTAATTTATATAATTTCCACAAAAAGGTTTACAAAACTTATCAAATCTTTTATTTACATGCCAACTACATTCCATATAATAAAATATATATTAATCAAATACTTTTATGATCTTTGGAAAGGAGAAGCTGACCTGACTTGCCTATCTTTGCTCATCTTCTTGTTTCTCGAAACCTACGTGTGAAACACTCACACGCTAAGTCTATGACTTAGTGAGACATATAAAACATATAATGGAACTTTAATTACTTAACAATGTATGAACAATCCACATTTCATATAAGAATATTATACAAACATCATATAACAGTTCATATAACAAACTATATACATGCACATATATCATCATTATCCTAATCAAATCATTGTCATTATCGTTATCATTAATCCATTTAGGACATATAATCTTGTAGTTAACCTTTGTAAACTTTATACCATACATTTCACAAACAAAGCACATAACATCACACAAGGTTTCTTTATGTTATCTCTTTTATTGAGAACTAAAGATATGTAAGTACATTGAGATTGTGTAGAAATGTTGTCACCACAGGTCGTATAAATTCTCACTGAGGGTCATATAAAATTGTTCTGAAGAACCACGTAGAAATATCCCGAAAGACCAGATATATGTCCCGAAAGACCACATAAAATTCTCCTTAAGGACCATATATATATTCCAATGGACCAAATAGGTATACCGAATGACCGCATATATGTTCCAAATGATTACATATATGTCTCGAAGGACCACATAGTACCCTCGACTCTTGGCATGCCAATTATACCCTTAGCTCTCATCTCACATAACATGAGAATTATCATTATATTTGTCACATATTCACATATTCATATCACATAGGCATATAATCTCATAGCTTCTTATCATATAATTCACGTCACATGGCTTATATCTTGTGATCATGTAATCACATAACTTATTATCACATAGCTCATAGTCACATGACGTATCTCATAGACATGTATTTACATACTTTATAATAACATAGCTTATACCATTTCAAACATAGTCACATAGGTCAATATTTAGCTTATTTCACTTTTCATATATTCACATAGTTCATTATCACATAACATGTATCATATAGACTTGTATAACAATGTATATACATAATTACATATGCATGCACTCATGTACAAAAATAAATCATATTAATAATTGGAAATATACTCATCACAAGTCTTATTTCCTCCCAACATTATATACCCAATAGTATGCACTCACGTTAGCCTCACTAGTCCAAGTCATACACGTATCTCTTTCTTGTTCGATCTTATCTTGTTGACTCATCAGATACTCACTTTCGATCGATATCTACACAATTATACGACTTATATGAATATCGGAGTTCAATCGCTTATAACTAATCAATATAACTTAGGCTGAAAGAACCACTTATTTTACCATTTCAAGCTTAATAATATCGGTACTCTAACTATAGTATTGATACTACCCTCTTATGGTATCGATACCCCCTAGGTACCAATACTATTTTGACATTCTATATTTATAACTTGATAATGGTACCAATACTAAACACTTGGTATCGATACCCCCTTTAACCAATACCGATATTACTCTTTAGGTATCGATACCTCTTAAAGATTTCATCCGATTTAATCTTATAGTATCGATATTGTTCCTTCAGTATCGATACCCCAAGCTCAAAATCTACTCATTTTGCTTTGGAAGTATCGATACTTGATGAACAATACCAATACCCCATGCCCAGAACTTATTTATTTTGACCCGAAAATCAACCATACTCAGCTAAATTCCTTATTTTACTCTTCTTTCAAGCCCTTAAACTCAACCACACTTATTCAAATCAACTTATCTCACTTTAACTCATCTTAACATCCCATATTTAACTAGTACTCTTCGATTCAATAATCATGCCAATTAATCACTTATTAATCCACACTGTCATATAAGAATCAATATAAACCACAATGACATATTAACATGCAAACCTGTACACACCGTTTATATCTATTATAAGCCCATGCGCTCTATTGAGAACTTAAGGTATACGAGTACTATGAGGTTGTGCACACATATGCTGTCACCACAGCTCGTATAAAATCCACTAAGTGGCATATAAAATCTATGTCCCGAAGGACCTATCCATATGTTCCGAAGAACATATGTAACTGTCCATATGTCCCGAAAGACATAGGTAAATTATCCATATATCTCGAAAGACATAGGTAACCCTCAACTCTTGGCATGCCAACTATACCTATAGCTCTCATATCATATAATATGGGCATTCTCTTTCGTATCATTTCACATATTCGCATATACATTTCACTTTTCATATGATTTTATAATCATATGTCACTTAGCTTATAACACTTCTCTTGTGTTCATATGGCATGTATATCATTGTCATCTCTTGTTCACATATGATTCCCATACAACACAGATCACATAACACATTTATATCACATATTATGTAATATTCTTATGGAGCCTCATATTTCATTATCATATCTCTCATATCACATGGCTCTTAGTCATACTTTCATATGTTCATATAGTCACCTAGTTCATTTCACATAACCTCTTATGTTCATCTCATATAATATATAAACTCCTAGTTTCTTATCCAGTATAATATAATATGCGGGTAAAATCTCATAATCAAATAACATTTAATAAGTTTAGGCCATAATCCACTTAAGCATATCAACTTTCCTATATAACTTATTTGACACATTTGTATACTAATTTATGTCAGTATCTTTTAACTTATATTCTATTTTCCTTTTTCATTTAATCACTTAGACTTAATTCATATAATTTATACATTGTTATCATATAACTATTTATATATCCTTATCACACCAATTAACATATAACCTTTATTAATCTATCCATATGTTCATGCATACATAATAGTCATGTCAACCACATATACTAACATTTATATATTTATATAATCAAATATTGGAATTAGACTCAATGCGAGTCTTATTTCCATACACATCATTTACAATTAGTATGCACTCACCTTAGCCTTGTTTGAATTGAATCGATTTTAATTATTTGATTCTCAGGAAGAAATTTACGTTCAATATCTACATAATTATACATTGATATAAATATATCAGTATTCCACTTGATATACTCTAATCTTCCATCTCTTATACTAAAACAAAAGTTGATTTCATCTTTTATTTAAGGTATGCATCGGTACATTCCTTAACATGTGTATTGATCCACTAACTATGCATCGATACACAAATTACATTCGATGTATTCATTTTAAGGGGTACATCGATACACTTCCTGTGCATCAATACACACTGAATAATTTTTGAAAATTTACCCTTGATGCATCGGTACATGTTGAATGTGTACCGATGCACACTAGCACAAAATTCACATTTTCTGCACGAAAATCACTCAACTTAGCTCAACTGTGCCATATTTCAACCCATTTCATATCCCTAACTTACATGCTCTTACTTAAACCAATTAATACCCATTTATCACATCTTAAATCTCAAAATCTTATCCAACCTTGGAATTCAAAAAGTAAACTCAATTTTTCATCATGTTCTAAATCCACTTCTAACACCTCATATCTCTTAATTCATTCATTGACAAGTCAAATTTAATCTCCAATTCTTATTGTGAACTCTATTCCAAAATTCCATTCAATAGCTCCTAATCTTTAATCTCTCCTAACTTCAGCATCCTTTGATTTTAAGATAACTTAAGCCTTCCTTAGGTTTAGTTATCATCTAATGATCATAACCCAAACTTAAATTCAACAAGAAATTAACTAATCAGAAAACTCACCTTATCAAGCTTGAACTCACGACAGGAATAAGGAAGGAGAAAGAAAGCTCTGGAGGCTTGATGTTTTTCCTTCCCCTTTACACGTGGAACCATATATATATATATATATCCTCTCTCAATTAAATTATATTTCCTACCAAATGACCATTTTGTCCTTCAATTCTTCCCTATTTATAATTAAATCCTATACAACATTTTTCATATAAGTCCCCAAACTTTTCAATTTATATACTTTGACCAACAAATTCTGAAATATTTCAATTTAATCACTGACTTGATATTGATGATGTTACAAATTTCCCTCCTTAAGAAAATTCGTCCTCGAATTTTCACTGTATTAATATATTAAGCCATTGTCTACGCATCTCCTTTTCATATTCACATATTACCTCTTTAGTTGATCTCTCTGGTTATCATAACCTGACTTCCATTATTTTTTCCTTTATACATTCCCTACTCTTTTCATATCACTTATAATTATCCTTAAGCAACACTCTTATTGTAATTTCAATAGTTAATACTATGTACACTAACTTTTCCTTTGTAAAATCCTTATTCCAATCATAAGATACTTATCCCTTTCTATTATCTTAAAAAAAAATTAGCTGACCCTATTCCCATATATAATGGGGTGAGTGGGAGGTAAGGTAGTAGGCTGCCCCCAACGCCAGGTTGAGAACAGCTTCCGTGGAAGACCTCTGGCAGTCAAAATTATTAATTGCCTACCATGGGACTCGATCCCACGACCACAAGGTTAAGAACCTTGCGCTTTACCAACTGAGCTGGACGGGCAATTTTTTATTATCTTAAACTTTCATGTAAATCTTTAACTTCCGTCAAACATACAAATCCTTTAACTTTAATACATTCGCTATCACATTACTTT